CGACAGTCGCTTAGGAGTGGCAATTTCGTCGCTAACTTTGGCGACTACATTAACAATCGCCAAATGTAGTCGCATATTTGCGACTATTTTGCGATTGTGTGAATCAGTCTCAAAATATCGACCGTTTCGCGACTATATTGTTTTGTAGCTATTAAGTGGCAATTCAGTCACTATTCAGTCGTAAACTGTAGCGACTGTGTTATTAGTCGCAACATGCAGTCGCTAGATAGTTGTTTTCTTGTAGTCGCGCGAACTTTACCAATTGAGCTATTAGCACTACGTTGTGAAACTTCTCTTTGGCCTCCACGTTGTGAAAGACTTGGGTTTACACTACCCTTGATCTCGAACATGTTTTGATCCCAAACCATTTGATAGACAAAATAAGATGTTGTTTAAAATACAAAAAGACAAAAGAAGATGTTTAGTTCTCCATAACAAGATACTTACTTGTATTGTAATCGTATAGTAATCGAGCAGAGACTGTGTTTGATGATGATGCAAAGAACAGGAGAATCATCAACGTTATGAACCGAATCACTACATACATCTTCGTTCGGTCTTATTGTCTAATAAAACTCTCTTTTTTTCTCTTCAATTAATAAACTTTTTGATTAAGTTTTATAAGCTTTGTAAGATGTAATGTCTGTATTTAAATGTAGAGAAAGTGCACTAATTAGTTTATGTCGTTAATCTTTAATTTCAGGACTAAAATCTCTTATACCCTTTGACTCTTTCTTCTATTCTCTTAAGGGTTTGACCAAAAGGAAAAAAAAAATTTAATTAAAAAAATCGAAAATTGGTTAAAATACAAACTTATCCTCACTAAAATAAAACAATTACAGATCCAACCACCCTATATCCGAAAATCCATATCACTATCGGATATCCATCGGATCCTTTACCTCTTTGTCTTCCTCTTCATCGTTTCAAAAATCAAAAGTCCCCCAAAATCTAAATGTTTGAAAAATCTGAAAATCACAAGCAGTTCGAGTATAACTAAGGACAACCCGAGATAGGGTAAGTCAAAACCTTCAATTATTTGGGTATTTTATGTTAGATCCGCTTGAATGTTATCGATTTAGGTGTTCTCGATTTAGGTTTTGTCGATTTAGGTGTTGATTTCGTTTATTACTCGAGTATGTTGTAATTTTCGGTTGTTGGTTTTGTGTCAAGGAGAAGAGAAGAATGGTGCGTACAAAGAACGCAAGCTTTAACAAAGAAACAGATCCAGTAGGTGAAGTCGAAAAGCCAACATATGCAATCGTAGGAGAAGATGAGACTCGTCGAGATGATTCAGAAAAAACATAGTCAAATCCGGAATCAGATTCTGGGGATTCAACGGTATGCACAACTTGGATATAATGGTACAACTTGTGTGAACTCGTTTTTTTTACTAAGAAATTGAAAAGGTACAACTTAGGAGAACTTGGTATAACTAGTTTATTTCAATTCGAAATTCAAAAGGTACAACTTGGGAAAACTTAGTATATCCATGTTGTTTTGCAGGAGTCCGAGGAGGAATCCGAGGAGGGAACAGAAGTAATGCAACCGCTGAACATGTACTTCAATCTGTCCGAGTACATGAAGCCATTCAAGCTATCTGCTAAGTATTATATCACAAGGACAGTGAACTTTTTGAGAGCTCACCTTAAGTCCCATGAGTTGGACTGGTTCCTATGACACCTTAAGTCCCATGAGAAGGATAATTGATGATCTATTCTGGTTAAGTTGTAAACTCTTGAGATTGATTTGTTTAACGTTGGGTTTTGAGTCATTTTATATGTGAACTCTTTGTATTGGTTTATGGATTGATGTGTTTTTGGATGTGTTTTGAACTATTCTAGTAAGTTATATGTTGTTTGTTAAGTTTCTGAGTTCCCATTATACAACTGCATTTAAAAGATCAACTTGGTAAAACTACATAGTAGTTGTACCATTACAAAATACTAGTTTTACAACCAAAAATTACAACCCAAATACATAAAGTAAGTTCTAAGTTACCAACAAAGCTAAGCCAATAAGGAAAGGGAAAAGTTACAATCAAACCAAGAAAATCAACCAACTAGTTTTATACTTAGTTGTACAACGACGAAGAACAAATTATACTTAGTTGTACTACGAAGAACAAGTTACACTTTATTGTACGATATTCCCAGCCCTATCACAAGAAGAGAACCACAGAAATCCCACATAAGATTCCCGATGCTCCAGATTCGCAGCTCATTCTCAGAAATCACAAACCCAAAATAAAAGACGAAATCGCACCAACCCAGAAAGAAAGAAGGAGAAGAAGTGAAGAGAGTAAAAGGACAGTAAACCCTAGCTATACCCGATTCCCGATTCCCTCTTTCAATTTCAATTTGAAATTGAATTTTGTAAAAATTCTTAAGTGTAGGAAAAAAAAAAAGGACCAAACAACAAATACGTGATCCACATTAGACACGTGTAGCCGCCAAAAGACACATGTGTAGCCGCCAAAATGCACTAGTTGTACCAAAGTTACAAGTTGTACTCGTTTTGGCAAGTTGTACTTTTTTATTTTTTTTGTTCTAATTAGTTATACAATGTTTAACAAAAATATTTTTAGTTGTACATATGATTTTAATTAATTGAGGTACATATACCACATGTACATGCATAAAGATTTTTGAAAACATTTGTTTCTTAGCTTTTCTAATTATATGTTTTTTGAAATAAGAAAGTGACCCTTAATGTGTAAGGTATTTCTTGATAAACTTAGAATATGATGATATCTATAGTGAAATATAATAATAAAAATCATGATTCCTTATTTTATATATATATATTGGATAACATGATGAAATTCTAATTCAGTTCATATTTATATTTATTAAGTTTTCTATATTTAGTTCCAATTCATGTTTATTAAAAATTCAAATAAATCCTGATCATTAAATTAATTAAAATAAATCCTTCTTTCGATTATTTAAATATTTTTTAAATATAAGAATATAGATTTTTATTTTAAAATATATATCAATTTAAATATCATTAAAATAAGTTGCCTTAAGAAAGTCCGAAAATCAAATTCAAATTTATTCAAGTTGTACCATAACAAAAACAAGTTGTACATAATTGTTCAAATAGGATATTACATCAAAATACAATCAATCAACTTCGGGAACTCTGACTCTCAAATCAGCTCGCGATGGTAGATTTCTTCTTCATGCGTCCATGTTCTCCTGTTGATTTCCGGCATATCTTGTTCACCATTGCAGAATAAGTGACCTCCTCTGTCTCCATTCTAAGAGATTGATGAACTTTATCTCTTGAATTCCATCTTGGTTCATTTTCTCTTGTTGCATAATATCCCCCATAATCATATATTATGATTTTTCGAAGGTTTTTATTCATTGTGGCCTGAAATAGAATAGGATAACTAACATTAGAATCTCTGTTGTGTTCATAGTTATACCAAAGAGTACCATTTGTACTACAAGTTTTACCATTATAGTTATACCAAGTTGTGCCCAAGTAGTTATACCAAGTTCTACCAGATGTACTACAGCGTATACTACTGATTTTCGAATACATTCCTACGATTCAATTCGATTGAACTGTTACAATGCACATATTATGAAAAATAGTCGACCCATTTCGACTCATATCCCTAATTGACAATGAGGATAAGAAAAATCGGATCAAATCCAAATCTACAATGAGAATAGTTCAATAGGGATGAACAAATACAATCCACAGCAACTCCACTTCATGCCAACGAGTTTTGAATTTAACAATGGATACGAATAAGTGTATTACCTCAGTTGTTGGGTTGCTTCTCGTGTTGATGAGAGAGACGATGGAGTTAAACGGAAGAGGAGCTCGATCGTGGTTGAAGATGAAGAAAAGATCGTGGTTGAAGATGAAGAAGAGAGAAGATGGTGGTGGAGTGGGGTCTGCGTCCATTTTCTTTTTCCTTTTTTTATTTAATTAAATCAATCAATAAGCAGGGGCAAAATTTGTCCTTTATTTAGTCAATATAAGTCAAAGCTACTTAGAACATGCAAGGATAGGCTAGTATATAAATTATGGTCAAAAGGCACATCAGATTTTAGTCCTTAATTTCAACGAAGAAAACTAATGACTTTGATTTGAAAATAATTATGTGTATACTTTTTTCGTGGACTCTTGAATTTGTCAAACTTCACTTTTTATGTACACGAACAAAACTACAAAAGACCAACAATACTAACAGAATAATATATTTTGAAAAATTCAAGAGTCAAAATAATATATTTGACAAATAATATATTTCATTTTCAGACATTTTCTGTCGTCCTTACGTATAACATTTTCAAACTTTATCGTTCATCATATTGCATTCAATTGTTTTTTGATGTATACTAAAATATTAGCCAAATGACTTAGTCAAATGATTTATTTTTACAGCCTTCTATCTATCACAGTTATAATTCGGCAAATCTCATTATCGGAAAAAATTGTCAAAATCAATTCTAACTAGGTGCTCACAATTTTTTAAGACCATAATGTCCGGTAAATATCAAATTCACTAAAAAAATTTCAACCTAAATTATATGAAAGTGTGGAAGCTCCTTTGGTCTAGTAGTTGAGCAAGGATTGTTGAAAGCTTCTACACCAAGATGTCTGGGGTTCGACGTCCAGATAGTGTGATTTATTAATTTGTAGATTAAGGAGACAAGCACAATTAGAACCGTTTGCCGAGATTCTACGCATGTAGAAGAAGGTGTCGTCAGAAAAGGGTGTAATCTATGGTGAATCTAATAGGGTCGGAGAGAATTGTCTGTAGTAGAATCGTCAAGGTAACAGTTCTCATAATTTGCAATAAATAATAAATCAAGAGTTAAAAGAAAAAAACTATATGAAAGTAGCTAAAATCAACATATACCGAAACAGTATTAGTTATCCCCTTAACATCAATGAGTCAGTCGACACCATGTCAATGACGGGGCATCATAGTTTTGTAAAACGACGTTGTTTTGTGAGTTTAGGCTTCTAGAATGGAAGCCCACAATTTAATAGTTTCCACCATCTTTTGGATTTTCAGGACATACGGTTACAATATGTCTTCTGGTACGAGAAGGATATCTCTAGCTAATGTTTTGTTTCCCTTTCATATTGACAAAATGCTCCACTTGTCAAAACAGATGTGTTCAAGAGATTTCAACGGAAAGATGGTACCTTCAAGGAGTGTCTTGTCGTGGATGCCAAAGGAATGTTAAGCTTATACGAAGCCGCACATTTGGAGACACAGACAGAGAAGATCTTGGAGGAAGCATTGAGATTCACACCTGGCCAGTTGGTGTTGTTAGCTGAAGGAGGGAATCTGTAACAACCCATCCCGGTGGGAACCCCTACCACATGGCACACCCCGCCATATGGCAGCTACAAGCGCTGCAGCGCATCGACCCTAACCTCTCTCCTGTGGGCCGCCAAACTGCGCAGGTCACTTGCTCGCAGCCCCCTGGCCCACCAGGTAGGTTATTGGTGCGCCTGGCGTTCCTCGAACCCAGGTCCTCACCCTTTAACAACCTTCCCACCGTGTAAGTTGTCACCAATTGACCTGCAGATCAATTGGTGACAACTTACACGGTGGGAAGGTTGTTAAAGGGTGAGGACCTGGGTTCGAGGAACGTCAGGCGCACCAATAACCTACCTGGTGGGCCAGGGGGTTGCGAGCAAGTGGCCTGCGCAGTTTGGCGGCCCACAGGAGAGAGGTTAGGGTCGATGCGCTGCAGCGCTTGTAGCTGCCATATGGCGGGGTGTGCCATGTGATAGGGGTTCCCACCGGGATGGGTTGTTACAGAATCTCCCACCTCATATCTCGAGGCTTATAAAAATATCTCTTTACATTCCTCAGCGTTATAATAACAAAACGATATTCGCAAAGAGATACATTTCGTTTTACGAGCAAGAAGAAGATCATGACAAGATGTTACTCCAGTTTTCGAAGCTAAACTTCAGATTCTTACAGCTGCATTGGATTCAATAGGTGGAAACGCTTACCAAGTATTATATTTAAATTGTTATATTTATCACACACAAAAAAGTACATATGTGTTTATTATATAGTTATGAGATTGAAAGCTCTTATGAAATAGATACTTACATGTATTTTGTTGTGTAGGTGGTGGAAGGAGCAAGACCTTGCAGCTAAGCTCCCACCTTACTTCAGAGACAGAATGGTAGAATGTTATTTTTTCACATTTGAGGTCCAGCCACAGTTTTCACATGAGAGAGTTTTAGCGGCTAAGTTTTTCATGCTCTACACCATTGTTGATGAAACATGCGATAGATTTGCATTTTTTCCTGAAACCAAAATTCTTGTCGAGTGCATGGAGAGGTATAATTACATTACATTATCTATATGAAATTACATTCTCTTTAGTGATAGATGCTTGATATAAAAGTACTCGATCCAGATTGGTTCCAGATTCGGTGGACAGTCTACCAGATTATATGAAACCCATCTTCAAGTTTACACTCAATGTTTTCGAAGAGTCTTAAAGCATGAGTAGGTCTGAAGAAGACGAATCCTACATTGTCCAAGGAGCACTAGTAGAGGTTAAATTAAAATTAAAATCATATATGGTCATGGTCAAATCATAAAAAGTTTTTATACTAATTAATGTCTGAAGTAAGATAAAATTAATCATATATATCTATTGACATTTTGCTTGTACTTTTATGTAAGCAGTTTAAGATTCTCATGAGATCTTATCTTAAATTTGGCGAATGGGAAGAGACAAACACGGTGCCTACATCTGACGAGTCCATGGAGGTTAAAGACACTCAAATCGTCATTTTCGCAGCTTTACTACTATGTTTTCTTGGTTAAAATCCAGGCCAGAACTCGTTCGAGCTATAGCTAGAAATACCCGTCTGTTGAATGACATGACCGGCTGTGAGGTACACCTTCATTATGTTCTACCTCTTTTGCGCTAGCTAGATGGATACTATTTTGAATCGTACATTGACTAGTAATATTTTGTGGTATGAACAGGATGACATGAATAGAGGGGATGAAGCCAATGTTAATGAAGAGTTCTTGAAGATAGCGAAAAAAATGCCAATTCATATCCTCCATCGAGCCATTAATTGCGGAAGTATGTCGATTATAACCTATAGGGATGGTGATGGATACACCAATCCCATTGGAAGATTTAAGCACCATATGACCTCCTTGTTCGTAGATTTGATGCCCCTTTGAATATCCAATCATATTAGTTATGCAATGAGATATTATCCATTTGCAATTTGATAAAAATTCTTGCAAGAAAAAATCCAACAAATGTTATTTTGGTTTTAATTTATGTATTACTATATTTCACATGACTTTTACTATGGTGGGTGCATTTTGTCATTTTGGTGTGTTCCTTAATTTATTTTTCTATTATCTACAATGACCTACTTTCTTAAGACATATTTAGCTAAGGTAATAACTTTTCACTTTTATTTGTATTCCCTAAATGACTTGTAGTAGTAGGACACAAATTTTTCTTCGAACGAATGTAAAATTATATTCAATCGAAATTTTCTTTTTTACAACCAAGTTTAGTTTTGTTTGATATTTGTCGTCAACAAACATTTTTTAACCTCGTTTTCGATATATATCTATTAGGCACCATATATACCTTGAGATTATAATATATTTTAAATCTTGTGAAAGACTGAAAGTATAATATTTAAATAAAATGAAATCATTCATGTAAGTCTATATAAAATATTATTGAATACGCTACGAAATTGTAACGTCCGTATAGTACATTCGTTAGGTTTTCTAATTCAAGTGTCGTGTGCCCTAATACTCGAAATAAAGTGTCCCATCCGTTGTCGACTTGATCAGCTCTCATGAAAACAGAGGGTTACTCCTTCAGATATCTCAATCTTTTTTATTGTATTTTTAACAAGGAAGAGTTTTATTATAAATAAATATATACCACAATTTGTGCATAGTTTGCAAACATTACAATAACTTTTTGTTCTTATTTTTTTTTTTTTGGTTCAACAATTATTTCAAAACCTTTAAGGACATTCTCAACAAAGGAATGAATGGATCATTTAGCTAAAGAATCCGGCTATACATGGTAGTTTCTATCATCAAATTAGAACCAGAAGAAAAAATAATGAAAATCTAAGAGAGCTATTCTATTTTTTATAATAAATATCACAGAAGATTCTTTTAATTCTTTTTTGTTGTAAGTTTCAATTTTTACTTATAAAAGCTAAAATATAGATTTAAAGTGGGTCGACACACACTTGCAATCTATAAGATTACAAATTTCAACTTCTTGAATCATAGTAGAGTTACAGTCTCTTGCTATAACGCTTGTGACCTAAAGCTTGAATAGATGAGAGATGACTTCTCACTTGTTTGTTAATCCATGGGGTTAGAGAAGTATAAGTGGAATCGATGGTAAGAGAAAGAATTAAACATTAAGTTAAACAATAAGGGCCATGTAATAGTTTTAGACTTTAGAGATAGACTACATGGGTGAAAGAAGCTACAACAGCAACAACATAAAAAACAAACAACAGAAATACATTATAGGCCACTGAATATGAACTCAATGACCTACTACAATAGATATGATATAATAGTATTACTCCTCATCTTCTTTATCGTCGTCTTCTTCCTCCTCATCTTCATATCTTAGTTCGCGAATGCGAATTTCCATCTTGACTACCAAGCTTTCATCCAGGTAAGGGTAAGGAACAAACATGGATTTCACCCCAGGAGATTCGAAACTCACCCTTTGAATCCTATTCATCTCGTCAATTGTATCTGTAAACTCTACATTTCCCCTCCGGCAAATGAGATCATAGCCAAAATTCCAACCTATTGTAGCACAAGGAGCAGCGAGTAAGTTCGCGGTCACATACAACCTGTCTGGCCCCTTAAAAGCCTGAAGAATAACCAATGGACCATGATTATATTCCTGAAGGATTAACATCGTCTCTTACATGTTTTGTGGTACGTCAACGTCAACGTACTGGCCAGTCCTGAACCTTGATGAGTAACTAGCCTTGTGGCAAACAGTGAAAGAATAGTAGGTAGATATTCTTATCGAAACCAGCGTAGTCGCAAAATGGTACAAGGCAATAGCACACAAAACCATCACACTCCTTCTCATGGTCGACTAACTGTTTGCCATGAGAGAGTTTTCCGGGCAACCATGCTTGGCGTTTCGGCATGGTAAAAAGACTGCTTCCACAAGTCTCTCCAATATTCGACATCTATATATACCAACGGGCAAAGTACAGGAGGTCCATTTATTACTCATCAGCATAACACAACAAGAAGAGCAAGCTATATGTCCATTTTCACACTGAGATGTAAAAAAAGAGTTAGTTAATATTATCAAAGTTGTATAGAGAAGAGAAACTAAGCCAATTGAGAAAAGATTAAATTTTAACAGAATCATCCTTCTCGGACTGGTAAGTAGTGAAATTATTATTTTTTACCACCAAAACAATTATAAACCAAGAAGAAGAGAGAGACCTGAAAGATAAGACTCGTCAATGGGTGGCAGCAAAGGGGACGGTCAAGAAGAACAAGGTCGAATAGTATCAAAGACCGTCCCATCGTCAACACTTGAGATTAGTCTTTGCCTCTTTGATCCGCGGTTGCGGCGTTATCCATTCCTATCAAAGAATATAAGAGATGTGGTGGTGGTGGTCTGGTGGTCTGGTGGAGGCTTTTACATGTGCTTTGCTACTTATATACACGTACAGAAAGAAACGGTGTCGTGTCTTAAACCATTGTTTCCTTTCATGCAATGATTTTTTCTAAGTTTAAATCTTTGACTATGACTATATTTTATCTTCTTTCGTACATGTAATAATTTTTTTTCTAAGTTTTGATCTTTAACTATGACTATATCTTATCTGAAAAGTAATATACAATTAATTTTTAGACTAGTTTCTCATTTTGGATTAATTTCAAAATACAATTTCATCAATAATATTTTTTCCTGGAAATACACCTTCTCTAAATTTGTTTATTAAAAATGCCACTGAAAATCTAATATTTTATCTAATTGTATGTTTGTAAACTTATAAAAATATAAATAAACTACTTTTTGAAACCTTATAAATTTGGATTGAATTTTCGAATAGTAGTTACTATCTTTTCAAACATTAGAAAAATTATATTTAGATAATGACATATAAAATAATTTTGGTAGATATTATTATAAGAAAAAAACACAGCATGATCCCAACAGTTTGAATATATTTTCTTTCACTGCCGATGCAAATCCACATTTTCGAGTCATTATAGTGTGCACCAAAAACATGGCTTTTAGATCCGTGTAAGAGCCAATGTAGGCACAGTTCGGTATTGCAGAACGAGCATCTCTTGTTTAGTTTGACACAGCACATGATTCACAAGCTAGCTGCCCGTTATGACACCTGCCCGGTTCGAAGAATTTTAAAGCCTTTGGGCCTTTTATTATTAGAAAAACAAATTCTGTATTATTTTTAATAACTTTTTTTTGGGGCTTCATTATATCAAATTGAGCGAGAGTTAGTACAAATTCTTTATTGTAGTTCTCGACATATTTATCTAGGCATTGAGAGAGAGAAACATATCTTGTATTATGCTGGTCGGCTCTATTTTTTCTTATCCGATCATTCAATAAAAGCCTTCCTACTCAGTACTAGTTTTATTACTACTATATGATTTTTGACGACCTTCATTATCAACAGTTTACATTTGTTTTCTTGCATTTATAATGACATCAAAAATTTATAATCAAATAGCCTAAACCAATTGTATGGTTACATGGATTAGATTATGGGCTTCCAACTTAAAATCAGTTGGCAATGAGTGGAGAGGCCCATTTCTTTTATATACCATTTAAGATCCTATTCAACTTCCAATATGAGATATTGTTATCCCTAATAACATGTACACCATTATTGTCGAATGACCAAGACTGAAAATTTATCACTAGTATTTCAGTCATTTTTTATATATATCTCTTGTTCATTAGTCTCAACTCCCAACAATAGGTTGGTAATAGCTAGCCCTTGTCATTCGGGTTCTCCAGTCGGGTTCAGATAAAAACCGTTCGGGTTTGGATTTTTGGGTAGAGGATTTTAGGACCCAATAGGATAAATATAAAAGTTCGGTTCGGTTTCGGTTCGGGTCCATTTGGGTTTAGGTCGGTTCGGTTATAATAGTTACAGATATTGTTATCTTATCAAGGGGGATAAGAAAAGTTAGTTCAATTAGTCTCAAGGGGGCTAAAACAAGTTAGTTCAATTAGTCTCAAGGGGCTAAGGAACCAGGAAACTAGTTGACGGAAAAAGAAACTAAGAGACTATATAATATGGAAAAGTTGCTGGGACAAGAAAAATTGTGTTGACACTCAAATTAGCTTACAAAGCCTTAATTGATCTCTTATTGAAGTAATTATGAAACTTATCAAGACTTCACAATTCAACTTCAAGACCGTTGTGTGCCCTAAGAGCATGATTATCGGCGTATTCAGCCATGGTCCCAACCTTTTTCATGATTTAATTTAAATCTAAATGTCTCAATAACTGAAGAAACGTTCGTAAAAACGGGACAATTGAAGCTGGTCCTTCCGCCTACGTGTCATGGGCTTATTGGTCGTGAGTTAAGTGGGTATAGAATTTTTTTCCGGGGTTGATCATTTTCTTTTCTCCTCTTTTTCTCTCTCTCTCTCGACTCTCTCTCGACGAAATAAATTCCGAGAAAAAGGTTTACTGTGTTGCTCGCGAGCTAGAAATCAGAGCGACTTGGAGCAGAGAAGACAAAGAAAGCAAGTCTTATACGTTTGGTTCTTCCTTTGATTCCACAGAAACCAAACCTCACTTTCTCCATCTTCGTCCACAAGAATGCCAGCTTCTGAAGGTAAAATTGCAATATAGAAACGAGTTTCTCATCTTTTATCTCCCTCAAAATCCGAACTAGAATTGGGATTTGACTTACCCATATAAATTGTATCTATGGGCAATTTTACTTTTGCGAGGAGCCGTATGAATTGAATTACCCTTTTTCCAATTCCGTCGCCGATAGAAGAGGGAAATGGAAACGACGGAAGCGAGGGGGGTTATCGGCGGCGAGGAAACCGAAACAAGAGGAGGAAGATATGGAGGAAGAAGACGAAGAGAACAACAACCACAACAACGAAGAAATGGATGATGTTGATAATGCCGATGAGCTTCAGCAGAACGGCGGCGTAACTCCCGATCCGGGACACCGTATTGGCGAGGTAGTTGAAGATTCCGGTTCGCGAATCTCTGATTTATGTTAGAATTGTGAGGCTTAATGCAGTATCAGCTTTTGCTGGTTGGTACTAGTATTGTAGTAGTCATAAGGGTTAACCACAAATTTGTCAACATGTGAATCTGCTGGGGTGGGGCTCGGCCTCCGAACCGTACGTGGGGTTAATCTCTATTACAAATTCTTTGTGTATTTTGGTGCCTCTCTCTAACCTGATAACTAGTATCGCCTCCTTTTCTAAAGATATCCCAAAGGGTTCTTATGGCCGTAGCTTCTAAATGTATAAGTTCTTATCTTCTTTTTGTCTGGTGCATTGTTCTTTGTTTACGTTACTCTGAAAGCAACTTCATTTCATATCAGATGTTTCTTACTGTCTGTGTAATGGAAAGGAAGAGGTATTAGAACTTTTACACATCTTCTATCTAAAAAAATAGAATAACTGCTGTCTTTGAGTATAATTATATTTCTGGTATTTTGGTTCCCAGTGCTCAAATTTATTGTTTTTACTTTTGCTGTTACATTTGAACAGATTGGTTTGCACCAAACACAGTGAATCGGCTAGAGAGGCAATTGGTTTCCAAAATTCTAAGAATGTCGATCAATAAAATGTTGGTAAAATCTTTCTATGGTTATGTCAAATGTTTTTAATGTCTTTATTGTATGTTTTCAAGCTTAATCCTTGTTTGTAACTTTGTAATTTTAATATGTTTAATATTAATCCAATATTTATTATATTTTTCCTTTTGTAATTAATCTATTTAATATGTTTTTCCTTTTGTAATTTAAATTAAAAAATTATTTAAAAAACAAAATATATTATATTTATAATGGTGGGACAAAATATCAAGATACACCAATGCTCAACCTTCAAATTATATCAATTGTCCTACATGCAAAAAAATAAAAACAAATTAGAGGGACCAACAGATGGGACAAACCAATGTGCATGGTCTAATACTCCAAATCAAGAGTCTCATATAACTGTTGTCGACTTGATCCGCACTCAAGGGAACATAGGCTTACTCACTCCTCCAAATATGTCGGTCCTAGCTACTTTGGTTTGTGTGCCCTAATACTCGAAAACATGAGGTCTACTTTTTTGTGTTTATAAATTGTAGTATACTTTATGGGAGGCACTGTGCAATGGTGTCGAGGATTCAATTGTTTTTTTTTTGCGGAACTATAATAAAAAAATACATTACCAATTTGTGCATACTTTGCAAAACATACAATAAATTTGATTTCTTATTTGAAAATAATAAATAATTCAAAACCTTTAAAGACATTCTCAACAAAGGGATAATTTAGCAAAAGAATTCGACTATACATGGTGATTTCCATCAACAAATTAGAAAAAAAAATATTGAAAAACTAAGAGAGCTATTCTAATATTAAAAAGATATATCACAGAAGATGCAATGCTTTACAAAAAATTTGATTATAAATTTCAATTTTTACTTGCAAAAGCTAAAATATGAAAGTGTTAGATTTAAAGTGGGTAGAGACACACTTTGCAATCTATCAGTTTACAAAGTGGGTAGGCCACCCTGTAAATTTATAAGGAATCCTCACTTGTTTGTTAATCCATGGGGTTTAGAGTAGTTTGGATGGTCACCAATCTCCATGAACCCTCCACAATATCAAAATATTGCTTAATGAATTATAAGAACAAAAAGAAGTATGAGTAGAATCAATGGTAAGAGAAAGAAACATGGACTCGACAAAGACTCTATGTCCAGAAAGTAGAGATTTGCAATTTGTTTACCCTTTCCAATCATTGATCCCCGAGTAGGATCTTGTATAGCACAAGAATTGTCATCAAACCAGACTCTACAACCCATACTTTTTGTTAAAGCATTGACATATAGAAGATTGAACTTGAATTGGGGAATGATATGACTATGGTCGAGCAAGACCCGGAGCTCGAAGTAGAGGAAGCCGTTGACGAGGAGCAGCAAGAAGACAAGGAGCAGCACGTAGCGGAGGAGCAGCTCAAAGCGGAGGAAGCACTAGACATCCCGGAAGATCCTCCAGCACACTCAAGGCTTAAAGAGCTCAACCCATCAACCAATAGAAGACTTAGGGAGCTAGACAAGAAGCAAGAAGACGTGGCTCAAGTCTCCTCAAGAATCATCACGACTCAAAAGGTTCGGTAAAGGGTTAAGTGTTGCTTATGCACTCTTTTTCCCTTGTCAAGTTTTGTCCAATTGGGTTTTCTTGACAAAGTTTTTAATGAGGCATAAGTAACACTTTCAAGGCCATTTATCAAGCCAAATTCGTGGGTCCAAGGCCCAACACTTTGCCTTGGACCATTTTCTATCTTTTCTCTTCATTCTTGCATTTATTGTTTTGTTATTTCCAAGAATTGGTCCATGGTCTTGCATGAATGTATTTCCAAGGCACTTGTGTATTTCCAAGGCACTTCTCTCTCATTCCCTTCTACTATATAATCCCCCTCTACCTCTCATTTGTAACTCATCTAATCTTTTATCAAAAACTCTTTCTAAGTTAGATCACTCTATCTTGTTCTTTTCTTTGGTGTGTAATATCCATAGGCAAGTCCAAGTTCGGTAAATCAAAGGCTCTTCCGCAACCTTTGTGCGACCATTCGCTCCACATCCTTTGATCTAAGAGATCCCCCGATCCCTTAGGTGCAAAGCCTATCATTGCCTCAACTTCAAGAGTGTCGATTTTAGGAGAGTCTTATTATGGAATATATAAGACATCATGAAGAATTAGATTGCCCAAATGAATAGTTCCTATCCCAACAATGCTCACAGAGATTCCATTTGGAAGATCCACAACATTGTGAATAGGTTTAAGCGAAAGCAAAGAAGATTGCTCATGAGAAATATGATTAGTAGCTCCTGAATCTATAACCCAAGCAGAAATGGCAGGAATGTTGCCATAAAGAGAACAGCCATATGGTCGATCAATGCTGGTAAAAGAACAAAGGACAGAAGGAGAAAAAGTACCAGACATTGGACCAGTGGATGAAGAAGAAGGTGCAGAAACTGAGACAGAGTGAACTTCTGGTGTGTGAGTGGTGCTGGGAGGCTGAAGCTTGCTGGCAAGGAAGGACATAAGTTGTTGAATTTGAGATGATGACAAATCACCAAAAGTATCTCCACCTTCAGAAGAAACCTCATCAAGAGCCACATTTGCAACAACTGCTTTTTCAGACCTCTGATTTTGCTTGAAACTGGTAGGATACCCATGCTTCTTCCAGCATTTATAAACAACATGACCAGCTTTACCACATAAAGTACAATATGATTCTATTTCCTTTTTGTTGATCCGAATTACCAACTCCTTGTGTGATAGAAGACTGAGAATATTTACTGAACCCTTGAGACTGTGAGTGTGATACCTGAAAAGCAGCAGAGTTGAGCTCATAGTGAAGAGGAGCTTTTACAGTTTTCTGGCTATCATCTTGGTCCAAGAGATTGTAAATCTCAGAGAGAGAAGGAAGAGTCTTCTTCATGAGGATGCGGCTACGGATATTGTCATAGAACTCATTTAATCCCATCAAGAAGTCAATAACAAGATTAGTCTCCTTTTCTGCAAGAAGATCCTCAACAGTGTGGGGAGTAGTTTGAATATTGGAATGTTCTTCCCACAAGGTTTGAGTCTGAGTGTGATATGAAGACAGATCCAAACTGCCTTGTTGAAGAGAGTGAAGTTGGTGACAAAGCTTGTATAGGCGAGGAAGATTGGACTTGTGAAAGCGAGTGTGAAGATCCTTCCAAATGTCAGAAGAGTACTTGATGTACAAGATGCTGGAATAGAACTTCTTAGAAACGCTGTTCAACAACCATGATTTCACCATTGAATTGCAATGAGACCAAATCTTTAAATACGGATCACATTCATCTGGTTTAACAATAGATCCATCAAGAAATCCTAGCTTGTTCTTAGCTTCAAGGCTCGTAACCATAGCAACATACCAGACATTGTAATTATTGCCATCAAGAGGTTCCGATACTAAGACTAAGCCAGGGTGATCAGAACTATGTAAATGATACGGTGAATATATATTATCCGGTGAATCTGATACCTCAAAAGGATCATGAGATGGAGTAGAGAGAGATCGGCGAGCTGAACCACGATCGGGAGGAAGAGAAGCTCGATTCACCGTTCCCGAAGAATTGTGAGACGGAGGAAGACCAGATGGCTCACCGTGTCCTCGAGGTGACACCGCAGTGCCGTATTCAGGTGAATCGGGAGCTAGAGTGCGATAATTCGACTTGCAATTTCGTTTTCCCATGACGAACTCAAATCCAGCTGCGATAAGACAAAATCTAAGCTAAGTGAGTGGAGAAAAAAGAAAGAAGAATCGAATCGAAGAAGAAGGAGCTCAACAGAAGAGATCGGAAGAGATTCTGGCAAAGAACCGGTGAGATTCCAATGAAACGAAGCGGAAGAGTTTGTTAGAGATCGATGAGAGTGAGAGTGAGAGTATTATGCTCTGATACCATATTACCAAATAAACTCATTCTCATTTATTAACATAAACTTTACAATTGTGGGTTTATATACACAGACATGAGGCCTAAACCAATGCCACTAAACCGACTCTATACTAACTATCTACGGTTTATACTGGTTTATAGAGGTTACTAGTTTACAATGTTCTCTATATACTAATAAACACTAAGTATAACAAAAAGGCCAAAAGAGTTTTAGACTTTAGAGATAGAGTTTATGGGTGAAAGAAGCAACAACAACAAAAATACATCACTAGGTCAGTGAATATGAACGCGTCCTAACACTAACAAAACGAAAAGCCAACATACCAAACTTTAATATATGTACCCAAAAATGGTCTTCCTTGAACTCTTCTCTCTCCTTGGACTGCTCGCTCCCTTAGCTCTTATTTGGCATCACCACTTATAGTTCTTCCAGGGTTCTCCAGGGTTCTCCATGGTTCCAAGTCTTTGCATGTGCTGCTGCTCGAGGCTGTTACATGTGCTTCACTACTTATATATACGTTGAGAAGATAGGGTGCAGTTATAAACCCTTCTTTCCTTAAAACGCACGCAACATGTTTTTTAAGAGTATATTGAGATTTAGTGGAGGAGAAAATTTGTAACGCTATCACTAGCTAGATCTTATCTTAACCTCATTATTGTAAGTTATCTTTCCCTTTTTACAACAAGGAAAAAACATAAGAATTAAATATTTACAATTTTGTTTCACTACAAGAAAACACGCGTATTGCGAGGGAATCTTGCTAGGGAAGAAATGCCTAGCAAATTTGCGATGCTGGTACTAGGCCGTTGCGAGTACCACAACGCGCCTCATAGATCCCTCACAAATTTGCTAGGGCACTATGCCTCGCAATATTGCGACGGCATTGCAACCCACTTGCAAGGTAGTAATCATCCGTTGCAAAATACTAGCTATACTGCGAGAAAATAACTAGGCAAAAAATTTAAAAATGTTAGGCACAAACGTT